ACAACAACAACAACAAGAAAACTAAGATTAAGGCCATCAGTCTAACAAGGCACGCGTGTCATTGGAACACACGGGCCGTCACGGATACGCGATTGTGTTGCCGTCACGTGACACGTCCAGCACAGTCACGTTGCAGCCCCGTGTCGAGCCATTAACAAGAAAGCAACACGTCACACGATTGTGTCACTACCACACTGCCAATGCAGTAGCACCAAATAACGAGCAATTACATGCCGTAGAATCCATTGTTGTAGCGTGATCCCTGGACGAATTGCGCATTATAAATGTCAATTATTTTTTATTACAATTCCCCCATTGTAATAAGATGGTTTTTTGGGTTCTTATTTTTGTTTTTGTGTTTGTTGTGGTTGCACCCGATTCAAGAGCCGGATGGCTCACAGGGCTATACCAAAATAAACTAAACTGAACCCACGTCTACGCTCCTGGCCTTCAACACAGCGACACGAACCCTACAAGTCTTGTGGGGGGGGGGGGGGGGACCTCCCTTGCAGTTTGCAGTGGCACGGCTGAGACGCTTGACTGAAAGGTACTCACTTGATGACTCCCACTAGCAAAGAAACCTCGTGTGCAATGTCTCTGAAGCATCGGGAATTAACGTAGCGTTAGCCCGGCCAACAAAAGACACAGATCCCCCCCGTGGTAATCTTTAACAGACTGTTGGGGCAAGTGCCCGTTAGCGAGCACCTCGGAAGCAGAATGTTTATTTACACTGGAGAAATCCGATGAGCTATGAAGCTCTTTTTCACAGATGTCCAGTAGGCGCATGGGGTGAGAACGTTAAAACAACACAAAGTAGAACACGTGATGGTAGTGCAAAGTACAACAATGGTCAATAAATCGCCCACACACACGCAACTAAACCATCCCCGTCCTACCAGGCAAAGCCCACTGAACTGCTATTCACTTATTTTACAGACGCGATTTGGCCTATGAGGGTCGACTGACTGAGATGACTGGCCAATGCACCGCCATTGCCCCCCACTACACACACACACAGTGTGTACACACTGTGTGTGTGTGTACACACACAGTGTGTACACACACACACACAGTATACAGAACAATGTCCACGTTGTTGTTGCTGAGTTCACGCACCCAAGGAAGGGGGCAATGGAAAATGATGCTAAATCAACTTAAACTCCATCCCCGCTCTGTGACGTCACCACTCAACATGACCTCATCGGCAAGAAGTGCCAGCGGGAGGTGTACCTCGCTAGTGACGTCATGTCACCAAGGTATTCACGCTCCCCCAACCCCGTCAACAGCGCTCTTGCGCGTGATGTCACTTCCGCTTGGGTCACTGCCGATATCAATCCAGTGGCAATCCTTATTTGGGCAAAGCTACGCCCAGTGACTGCGGTTCATAAACATAATGTATTCGTTGTAGCCGTCGAGTTCAGCAGTCACGCCCCATCCCTCGACATATGGCCAGTTAACATTAACATAATTTATTCAGTTACAGAGCCGCTCTTTACGGGAGGGGCGTGTCTCTTACCCCGGAAGTGACGTTTGTTACCTGCTTACACGCGTGACGTCACGAGGTAACAGGAGGCTGCCGATCCACGCTTGCACTGAAATCCGAGGTGAGAAATTCTCATGGTGCTGGTTGTTGTTGTTTACCAAGGTAGAGCCTCTCTCTCTCGTAGGGATGTCAGTTGAGTAGCAGCGAGCATGGGAATCGATGTCCAGGTTGGAACTTTACAACGCGGGGCCTAGCCACGCGGGGCCTTGCCTCCTGCCCTCGCCTGATTGCATTCAATTTTCGATTTAAAGCTTTCGTGACTGCAATGATTCATCTTCTTTGGTTCTTTCGGTAAAGTCACGTAGAATGATAATAAAATAATAAATTGATAAAATAAAATAACACAATAATATTCTCACGACGTTTCGGCCACAACACAAGCGGCCTTCATCAGGTGAAGGGGGCGAGACTGTCTGGTAGGACAGCGCTGGAGTGAAAGAGCCACGAAAGAGCCACGTTCAGATACGGCCTTTAAGCCTGGTGCTGAAATTTGAGGCTTAAAGGCCGTATCTGAACGTGGCTCTTTCACTCCAGCGCTGTCCTACCAGACAGTCTCGCCCCCTTCACCTGATGAAGGCCGCTTGTGTTGTGGCCGAAACGTCGTGAGAATATTGTGTTATTTTATTTTATCAATTTATTATTTTATTATCATTCTACGTGACTTTACCGAAAGAACCAAAGAAGATGATTGCATTCACTTTCATTATCTCGCTTAAGTTTAATTTGTCTTCACCCGGCTCGCCACTTTGTAACTTTGTTTTATTGTAAATATTCACGCAGTTTTTATTTTCGTTCTTTTGTTACCAGGCCAAGCCCGCTTGAGCTGCTATACCGCTCTTGTTATCAGAAGCGACCTGCCCACAACAACACAAGGTGAGGCTTTGTCAACGTGTGTGAATGTTTTGACTTAAAACTTTGGTGACTGCAGGCATTAATATTCTTGGTTCTTTCGGTAAAGTCACGTAGATAGAAAATAAAATAATAAAAATAAATGAAAAATAAAAAATTTAAAATAAAGCAAAAAAACCCACGACGTTTCGATCGCAACACAAGTGGTCTTTATCTTATTAAATTTAATCTGTTATTTTTATTTTCTATCTACGTGACTTTACTGAAAGAACCAACAATACGTGCGTCAATGTATCTATCGGTCAAAGACGCTAAGCGCGTGCCGCTGTTGACTCTGAATGTGTGGAGGGGAACACCTTCACCACGGGGAGAGAGAGACAGAGACACGGATAGCCTCGGCTATGTTGATTGATCCTCGATTCATTACTTGGTGGAGTGAGGAAGAATTAATGCTGAGCAGATGAAGGTAGCCAGGCATGGTTCTGGTCACACCGCCACCTGTTTACTCATGGCAGTGTGTGACAGTGTCAAGTTTGTGTTTGCAGTAAAGTCTATTAACTATTGCACACGGAGGTTATATCAAAACAATAATTTATTTTTGTTTTCCTCTGGGACTCTTTATAAGAATGGAAACAGGAGGTGAACACAGCACACACATGCAGCTGAAGTCGGAACTGTTCATCCCAGCATTCAAGGACATCTGAGCCTGGATTCACACCTCTAACTTGCGATTGAACATTCATTTCTGCATTTCTGCATAACACAAATAGTATTGTTTTCAACACCCTTTGCTATGTCAGCTGAATTTAGCTCTCATAAATATTCATTTTGTAGTCAGACAGCCGAAATTGTGTGCTCGGAGTTTTGAGTTAACATTCATCTTGGAAGATATGAATGCTTCCAGGCATATTTATGACATTTGCCCTTTCATTGTGTGCCATAACAGCCCGTGGAGAGAAACCCTTCAGGTGCACTCTGTGCGAGAAGGCATTTGCACGTTCATCAAATCTGATGAATTTGAGAAAATTTTTCACTACATCATGAATATATTAATAAGTATAGACGTGTAAGTCACGTGTGCATTCCTCTGTGCCTGACGTGTAGATGGTGTGGATATGGCTCCCTATTGCTCAACCACGTTATGTATGCTGATGATTTGGTAATAGCTGCTCAGTCAGAGGAGGAGTTGGAGACGCTGCTGCTGGGACTGGAGCGTGCCACTAAGAGGTGGGGCCTTACCATCAGCCCCACCAAAACTAAGCACCTGCCTGGGTATTTTGTACCATCGGACACTATCACCCCCACAACTCCCAATCGGTGATGGGGCAGTTGTGGAGAGAGTGGAGAGTTTCCCATACCTGGGCAGTGTGCTTATGACTGGCTCCAGTTTAACAGCAGAGGTCTCACTCCGAATCAGTCGCGCGGCAATATCTTTTCATCGGTTGCGTAACACTGTGTGGAAGCTACCTGGTCTGTCGCTCCGCACTAAGCTTCAGGTCTTCTCGGCCACGGTCATTCCCTCCCTTCTCTACGCTTGCGAAACGTGGACCCCCCTAATGGAACACCTTCGCCGGTTAGAAACATTTAGGCTGGCCTGCCTGCGATCCATCCTGGGTTTAACCAGACTGGATTGTGTGAGGAGCTCACAAATCCTTGAAAGATCTGGGCAAGGTCCCATCGGTGAGCTCCTCCGGCGGGCAAGGCTGCGATGGCTGGGTCATGTAGCCCGCATGCCCAGCCACTGCATGCCGAAACAGCTTCTGTTCGGCCGGATTGAGGGGGCTAAGCGGGCGCGGCACGGGCTAGAGAAGAGATGGAGTGATGTGGTACAGGAGGACGTGGAGCTGAGTGGACTTGCCGATGACCGGTACCAGCGGTGTCAAGATCGGCCTCTGTGGAGGAGGCTCGTGAAGGACGCTACTGGGCAGTTGGAGGCAGTCGCCCTCCAACAACAACGGAGGGCGGAGGAGCGACGCTCACAACAACGAGCGGAGCGCCGGGTGGCTAAAGCACAGCGGGTTGACACAGTAGGGGGCACAGGTGGTGCATCAGCCAGTCATCTCAGTCAGTCGACCCGTGGCACCTGGGTCTGCCCCGTGACCTCTTGCCAGCGGGCGTTCGACACTTCACGTGGCCTCAGGGTGCACATAGCCTGGCACAAGCGTCGTGGTGACGTCACCGCCACTTAGTGGCGAATGGCGGTTGTTGTTGTTGTGTGTGTCTGTGTGCGTGTCTCTGTGTGCGTGTCTCTGTGTGTGTGTCTCTGTTGCCTGTGTGCGTGTCTCTGTGTGTGTCTTTGTTGCCTGTGTGTGTGTCTCTGTGCGCGTGTCTCTGTGTGTGTCTCTGTGTGTGTTTCTGTGTGTGTGTTTCTGTGTGCGTGTCTCTGTGTGTGTGTTTCTGCGCGCCTGATGTCTGCGTGTGTGTCTCTGTGTGTGTCTCTGTGTATGTGTCTCTGTGTGCGTGTCTCTGTGTGTGTGTCTCTGTGTGTGTGTCTCTGTGTGTGTGTCTCTGTGTGTGTGTCTCTGTGTGCGCGCCTCTGTTGCGAGTGTCTCTGTGTGCGTGTTTTTGCGCGCCTGATGTATGCTTGTGTGCAGTCTCGGCCCGAGTCATGATTCCCATCGGAGCCCTGACCTCCTCCTTCTCATTGGAGGGTCACCAGGACCTCAAGATCCTTCAGCCCTGGTGGGACGTGTTGTGCGACATGCTCTCCGTGCCCATGTTCATGATCGGCATCTTTGCCGTGATGCTGCAGGTGCGTCGTTCCAACAACGCTCCAGAGAGCCCCCCCACGCACATTCATCAATGTCGCCGCCTTGCTCATGGATATTGTATAACATCGCGCCACGGTGGCCGGGAGATATTGACGACCTCGCCTGGTATGTAGGAGGTCACAGGTTCCATCCCCGACCCCTGCTGCATATTCGGACTCTGCGTATGTCTCATCAGCACGGTGGCCGCGAGATGTTTACTACCTCGGCTGGCACGCAGGAGGTCGTGGGTTCCAACTCTGCGTGCGAGCTAACTCAAAGAGAGCGAATCTTGGGTCGATATGGGTTGCCCCCCCCCCCCCCCGTACACACCGGAAATCGCGCAAAGTGAACCACCTGCGTGGAGCGGCGTCCTCCAGGAGACCACACGGCGTCACGTGACCATGACGACCGCTCGTCATGGTCACGCGGTACCCACTTCCCCCGCCTTTGCCCAGAACATGAACGAGCGCATCCTGTGTGTGCCGGTGCCGAGCGGCTTCGACGTGGATCTGAAGGAGTGGAACGAGACCGTGCTGAGGGACCTCGTGGCCAACCCCAGGGCCCACAGGGTGAGTGAGGGTCCCCCTCGGGCCGGCTCGGCACCACCGTGCAGGGGGGGAACCGCTGGTTGCCAGCGGAAAGGCCGGCTGCGCCACCGACAGTTGCCCGAGGAATAGTGTCATGTATAGTGTAGTGTATAGTGTAATGTATAGTTCATAATAAAGGTTTTTGGGTTAGATCGCGTTTATTTATAAATGTGTCGTAACCCTCCACCACCCGACACGGCCAATCAGCAAAAAAAAAGTGTCACGTTGACAAAAGACAAATAATTCACTACTTTAGCCCACCGGTGTGTTGAAGAGTGAATCCACATTTACAGTTTGAGTACTGTGACGTTTCGCTGGTAGAGCTAATATTTACTTTTGGAACTTTGCTATTCTCAATTATTTTAGCAACCTCATGTCTAGTTATCTCTGCCTCATTATGTGGAAGGAGTCTAACTGCTGATTCTTACTCAGCAATTATCTCATCCACTGGAATTGTGCGTGGGGTAACGGCAAAAGCCTTAAGAGAGCTGCGTGTAAATAAGGATATCCAAATCCTAGCAGCTGATAAAGGCCGCACTACTGTAGTGATGTCACGAGCCGATTATGATAATAAAATTAGAAATTTACTAGAGGAAAGTACTTACATTAAAATTAAACGAGATCCAACTAATACTTTAGAACGTAAGACCACTGCAATAATTGCAAATTCATTAATCCCTAAAAATGAGCAATACCTAATTAAGCCAAGGGCCTCAAAACCACCTAGACTCTATGGGCTACCAAAGATTCATAAAATCGGCATCCCATTACGACCCATAGTCAGTACAATTGGCTCTGCCACATATCAATTAGCAAAATATATAACCAAACAAATACAGCCCTACATCGGTAAGACATCTTCATTCATAAAAAAATTCAGAACATCTTGTGAATGTGATTAAAGATATTAAACTTACTCCTGATGATATTCTGGTAAGTTTTGATGTGATTTCTCTATTCACTAAGGTTCCAGTGGACGAATCGCTTAAATTACTTGATACACTAGTAAAGAAAACCGGTTTACCAAAAGATATTCCGAAACTTGCTGGCCATTGTTTAAATAACACTTACTTCTTATGGAGAGGGGATTTCTTTAAACAAAAAGAAGGAGCAGCAATGGGTTCTCCTTTATCCCCTGCTATAGCAAATTTGTACATGGAAAACTTTGAAATAAGAGCACTTGCCTCGAGCACATTAAAACCATCCTTTTGGTTTAGATATGTGGATGACACTTTGGTTGTCTGGCCACATGGTAAAGATACACTTAATGATTTTCTAAATCATCTCAATGCACAAAACCCAGCCATCCAGTTCACCATGGAAATGGAGGTGAATAACACACTCCCATTCCTAGATATTTTGCTTGGACATGGCCTAAACGGTAAAATAACACACAGCGTTTACAGAAAGCAAACGCACACTGATGCCTATCTGAATGCAGAATCACATCATCATCCAGCTCAGAAATCCTCTCTTATCAAGACGCTCATACATCGGGCTAAAACAGTGTCAGATGGTGAGAGTCTAGTGAGAGAGATTAAACACGTTAAAGACGCACTACGACAGAATGGCTACAATAATGCTCAAATTAACAGAGCATTGAATGCCAAATCACGATCGCAAAGCAATACTGCTGAAAGCGACCAGATTGTTAAAACAATACAAATTCCATATATCTCAGGAGTAACTGACAAATTAGCCCGTGTTTTGCAAAAGCAAAACATTACAGTAAGATTTGGTACAGTACACAATATTCAAAAACTAGTATCTTGCACTAAAGACGCATTACCTAAACTATCAACAGAAGGTGTATATCGGATTAATTGTTCATGTGGCAGCTGCTACATTGGGCAGACGGGACGTAACATCAGCGTAAGACTAAAAGAACATCAGAAAAATATTAAATTATCTCAAACACAACTGTCGGCAGTGGCAGAACATGCTTGTCAACAAGGACACTCAATTGATTTTGACAATGTTGCAGTGGTGTGTAAAACTAATTATTACTGGCAAAGACTAATTAGAGAATCCATTGAAATTGAGAGGAACAAGAATAACTTTAATCGCTCTGACAGCTACCGGCTTAGTGCGGCCTGGAAGCGTATTATTAAATAATACACATTACATTTTGATTTAAAGAATTACTAATCTACAAACTCATTACTAATCATAACCAATGACTGATTACTAATCGATTATATAATTACAATACCCCCCCCCTCCGCCTCTAATCACTGCACCTGATATGAGTTAAGTAATGACGTCATCCTGCTGCTCTATATAAAACCGGGAGCAAGCGAGGGCTTTACCATTCTGGCGAATTGCCCGATGATGCTGGATGTATTTACCAGCGAAACGTCGTACTCAATCTGTAAATGTGGATTCACTCTTCAACACACCGGTGGGCTAAAGTAGTGAATTATTTGTCTTTTGTCAACGTGACACTTTTTTTTGCTGATTGGCCGTGTCGGGTGGTGGAGGGTTACGACACATTAAAATAAACGCGATCTAACCCAAAAACCTTTATTAAGAATAATATTGGTCGCGAAAGCCTACGTGTTAAACTGTAATGTATAGTGTCTATAGTAGTGTAGTGTATAGTGTAATGTATAGTGCAGTGTATATTGTAATGTACATTATAGTGTAATGTATAGTGTAGTGTAATGTATAACGTGTGGTGTAATGTATAGTGTAGTGTAATGTATAGTGTAATGTATAGTGTAGTGTATAGTGTAGTGTAATGTATAGTGTAATGTATAGTGTAGTGAATACTATAATGTGGTGTGTAGTGTATAGTGTAATGTATAGTGTAGTGTAATATATAGTGTAGTGTATAGTGTAATGTATAGTGTAGTGTATAGTATAACGTGTGGTGTGTAGTGTATAGTGTATAGTGTAATGTATAGTGTAGTGTATAGTAGTGTAGTGTATAGTGTAATTTATAGTGTAGTGTATATTGTAATGTACGTGATAGTGTAATGTATAGTGTAATATATAGTGTAGTGTATAGTGTAGTGTATAGTGTAATATCCTAGTACAGCACACCAGTGTGTTGGAGAGCAAAGCCACAACATTGACGATCTTGAGTACGGTGACGTTTTGCCTGTAATTACAACCGGCATCATCAGGCGAAAGCCAGATTTGAGCCAGCTCTGTCACCCTGCAAGGGAGGGGCATGCGATATCACCGCCACGCCAGTTCACTTTGCCCTTCTGCGTGCGTTCCCACACTCGCCCAGACCGGCTTCGACCAGTACCAGTACCGGTTGATCAACCAGTTCTGCTACGACAACGCGGTGCTGTGGATCAGCAAGTACTTCCCGCACCTCGTGGTGCTGCACACGCTCGTCCTGACGGCCACCAGAAACTTCTGGTTCAGGTTCCCGGAGACGAGCTCCAAGATTGAGCACTTTGTGTCCGTGCTGGGCAAGTGCATGGATTCGCAGTGGACCACGCACGCCGTCCACGAGGCCGCGCTTGATGGGGTGGCAACAACGGCGGCGGCGTTGCGGCCGTCGCTGCCCGCCACGGCGGGGAGCTGCAGGTCAGAAGGGGGCTGACGGAGAGACGGCCCACGGCTCCTTCCTGGTTATTATTATCCCCTCTCTTGCCTTTGTCATTCCTTCCCCCCTTAAGTAAAAAAAACCTAAAAAGTTCCCCTTTCTCCCTGCAGGGGGACCCCGCGTGGGTTTGGGGCAGCGAGCCCGTTCACACATATCTCTATCCCCCTGCTTTTCATAACCGGTTTGGCTTACGGTTGGCGGTGTGCGTGTGTGTGTACGTGTGTGTGACGTGTGTGTGGGGAGCGGTAGTATAGCGGTTAGCGCGCTGCTGTGGTATGAACCTGGCGACCCGGGTTCAATTCCCGCTCACGGCTAACACCAGTGACGATTATCTGAACCGGTCCTGGGCCTCCCCTAGGTCGACTCAGCCTCAAATGAGTACCTGGTGTGGTGAATAAAAACATTGCCACTGCGGAGACAAAGGCGGTCGGGCGTCGTGCTGGCTGCCCACCCCCTCGTATACCGTTCCAGCCTTCATAGGTGCTCGCTAACAGCACTTGCCCCTACAGTCTGTTAAGGCTATACGGGGGATCTTTGTTTTGTTTTTGTGGGGAGCGGTAGTGAAGCGGTTAGCGACCTGCGCTATGAACCCGGCGACCCAGGTTCGATTCCCGCTCACGGCCAAGACCAGCGACGATTATCTGAACCAGTTCTGGGCCTCCCCTAGGTCGACTCGGTCTCAAATGAGTACCTGGTAAACATCGCCACTGGGGAGACAAAGGCGACCAGGCGTGGTGCTGGCCACCCACCCCCTCTTGTACAATTCCAGCCTTCATAAGTGCTCGCTAACAGCACTTGCCCCTACAGTCTGTTAAGGCTATACAGGGGATCTTTGTGTGCGTGTGTATGTGCGTAATGATGTGGGTGTCTGTGAGTCTGTATGGGTCTTTGTGGGTCTCTACGGGTCTCTGTGAGTCTCGATGGGTCTCTGCGGGTATCTGTGAGTCTCTATGGGTCTCTGTGGGTCTCTAAGGATCTCTGTGAGTCTCCATGGGTCTCTGTGAGTCTCTATGGGTCTCATTGAGTCTCTATGGATCGCTGAGTCTCTATGGGTCTCTGTGAGTCTCTATGGGTCTCTGTGGGTCTCTGCGGGTCTCTGTGAGTCTCTATGGGTCTCTGAGTCTCTAAGGGTCTCTGTGAGTCTCTATGGGTCTCTGTGCTTCTCTGCGTCATGACGCGTTGCCCGATGTCCACGCAATCCCACGTACGCAGCGACCCGAGATCCGGCGAAATCCCCATGGAGAAGCTGCCTCCTGAGTCTCCGCCGGGACCGCCCTGGCCCTCCGTCCAGTTTGTCGACCCCGGCGAGCCCGCACCACCCGACCGGTCCCCCCCGGGGCAGAGCGAGGACCGGCGGACGCCATCGGATGATCGCATCCTGGACAAGAAGGAGGGCGAGCAGGCTAAGGCTCTCTTCGAGAAGGTGAAGAAACTCCGCGCTCACACGGAGGCGGGCGGCGGGCTCCACAGGATATACGTGTTGCAGACGGCGGCCCGCTTGCTGCAGGCGCTGGTGGTGCTCGCGTACACCGGCTACGCCTGCCCCAATATGCGCTACCACATCCACTGCGTGGAAGGCGAGTACATCACGGGCTACGGGAACTTCTACTGCGTCCACGGGCTGTGGCGCATCTTCCGCATGATGTGGATGGCCTACGCGACCACGATGTGCGTTTACGCGCTCACCTGTGCCTACGTCGTCTACTGGGTGGTGACCTGCAGGTGAGAGGGGGGGGGGGGCGGCGGTGCTGCCTCAGAGCGGTTGTGTGGCACCGGATCGCCGTCCGGCAGCCTTCTGGCTTTGGCCTACGGGCTTTTCGGCGATCGTGGAGACGCGGTTAGCGCGGACGGCGACACTGCTACGAAGATCTAAACGTAACGTTTTACTAGTGGCTTCGTGGAAGATCTTCCGCGTCGGGACGAGGGTCGACGGGCGCTGAGTTCTCTGTGCTGGGGGGTGGGGGGGGGGGCGCTGACACTGCAGGCTCAAGGAGTACAGCTTCGCGGAGACGCGCCAGGAGACGGGGGTGGACGACATTCCGGACGTACGCAACGACTTCGCCTTCCTCCTGCACCTAGTGGACAAGTACAACCCCTGCTACGCATCCAAGTTCTCCGTCTTCCTGTCCGAGGTGAGGAGAAGCCGCTCGCAGAGCACGCTGTGCGCTTCACGCACGCCGTACACTGGACGGAGCCGACCGAGCTGATCGGAGATGCGGGGTTAGGACAACAAACTGTGGGTCTCTGTGTGGTGAGCGTGGTGCTGGCCACCCACCCCCTCGTGTGCCGTTCTGGCCCGGCCTGCATCGGTGCTCGCTAACAGCACTTGCCCCAACAGTCCATCGAGGCTATACGGGGGGATGTTGAGTCTTTGGGTCTCTGAGTCTATGGGCCGTGTTAGTCTATGTGTAATGACAGGGTGTCACCTGTCGGCCTGGAGGGGTAATCGCAGTTATGGGCAAGTTTTGTAATGACTAATTATAAGGGGGGGGGGGGGGGTGCGTATCGGTGGTAAAGGTCAAAGGCTGAGTCAGACCGCAAGCTCCGGGAACCTGCTTGAAGATTCTGGAAGGGGGCGTGGCCGGAGGCGGGGCTTGGCCGCACCGGGGTGTACATGAGGGGGTCCTGAGTCCTGGCTGCGTCGCCGCTCGCCGTTATCTCTCTTTGCCGTCCTGCCACGTCGTCGATCTTCTGCAGGGCTCTCATCGTCGCCGTCGCTGCGCTAAGTCAAGTAACTGTGTAGTTGGACGCCGACGATGGGGTTGTGTAGCTACGTAGAGACGTTTACATATACATATCGTCCAGTGTGAGAATAAATAAGAAGGCCTCTACGCGATGTGTCTCGGAAGTTGCTCACTACATATGTATAACATGGGGCGGTACGGCTCATTGGGCCCTCACTGCTGAAACAAATAAAATCCATCCACGCTTGGCTGCTGGTGCTGTTGCTGCTGCTGCTGCAGGTGAGCGAAAATAAGCTGAGGCAGGTCAACGTGGATCAAGTGTGGACCCTGTCGCATCTGATGGGGCTGCTGGAGATCAACGCGCAGGGCGAGAGCGAGCTACGCCTCTGTAAGCTGGCAGCGGTGCCAGTGGACACATACCGCCTCACTCAGATACAGGTGCCCGTGGACACACCCATGCACCCACCCACCCACCCACCTGCTCACTCACCCACCAATTCACTCACCCAGACACCCACTTACCCACCAACTCGCCCACACACCCACCCAACCACTCTCGCACACAACCACCCACTTGCTCACTCACCCACTCGCTTGCCAACACACCCACCCACGCACAACAACAACAACCGCCATTCGCCACTAAGTGGCGGTGACGTCACCACGACGCTTGTGCCAGGCTATGTGCACCGTGAGGCCACGTGAAGTGTCGAACGCCCGCTGGCAGGAGGTCACTGGGCAGACCCAGGTGCCACGGGTCGACTGACTGAGATGACTGGCTGATGCACCACCTGTGCCCCCTACTGTGCCAACCTGCTGTGCTTTAGCCACCCGGCGCTCCGCTCGTTGTTCTGAGCGTCGCTCCTCCGCCCTCCGTTGTTGTTGGAGGGCGACTGCCTCCAACTGCCCAGTAGCATCCTTCACGAGCCTCCTCCACAGAGGCCGATCTTGACACCGCTGGTACCAGTCATCGGCAAGTCCACTCAGCTCCACGTCCTCCTGTACCACATCGCTCCATCTCTTCTCTAGCCCGTGCCGCGCCCGCTTAGCCCCCTCAATCCGGCCAAACAAAAGCTGTTTCGGCATGCGGTGGCTGGGCATGCGGGCTACATGACCCAGCCATCGCAGCCTTGCCTGCCGGAGGAGCTCACCGATGGGACCCTGCCCAGATCTTTCAAGGATTTGTGAGCTCCTCACACAATCCAGTCTGGTTAAACCCAGGATGGATCGTAGGCAGGCCAGCCTAAATGTTTCTAACCGGCGAAGATGTTCCATTAGGGGGGTCCACGTTTCGCAAGCGTAGAGAAGGGAGGGAATGACCGTGGCCGAGAAGACCTGAAGCTTAGTGCGGAGCGACAGACCAGGTAGCTTCCACACAGCGTTACGCAACCGATGAAAAGATATTGCCGCTCGACTGATTCGGAGTGAGACCTCTGCTGTTAAACTGGAGCCAGTCATAAGCACACTGCCCAGGTATGGGAAACTCTCCACTCTCTCCACAACTGCCCCATCACCGATTGGGAGTTGTGGGGGTGGAGTGTCCGATGGTACAAAATACCCAGGCAGGTGCTTAGTTTTGGTGGGGCTGATGGTAAGGCCCCACCTCTTAGTGGCACGCTCCAGTCTCAGCAGCAGCGTCTCCAACTCCTCCTCTGACTGAGCAGCTATTACCAAATCATCAGCATACATAACGTGGTTGAGCAATAGGGAGCCATCCCTTGACCGCACCCGGGCATCGATTAGCCTCCCATTATATCTGTACCATATAGAGATTCCCCCGGTACAGCTATTGAAGGCTTCACGAACTACGTGGTCAAAATAGATGTTAAATAATGTGGGAGCCAGAGGACATCCCTGTCGCACCCCAAGGTGTACAGGGAATGGCTCTGACTCCCGGCCACGTAGTTTTACCCGAGCCCGCTCACCATCATGAAGGTCCTTAATGATCGTGAGCAGAGGGTCAGGTACTCCAAAAGCACGAAGAACGACCCAGAGCCCAGGCCTACTGATGGTATCATAGGCCTTGACCAGGTCAATAAAGCAGAGATGTAGGTCTTGTTGGAATTCCCTACACCTCTGCTGTAGCAGACGGACAGAAAATATGGCATCTGTGCAGGACCGCCCTTTCCTGAAACCGCATTGGGGCTCCACAAGCCTCTCCTCAGCGTGCCTGGCAAGGCGATGCTGAATAATCCTTGCCAGGACCTTTCCCGGCACACTGAGGAGTGAGATGCCCCTGTAGTTGTTACAGTCCGTGCGGTCCCCCTTCTTAAAAAGGGGGACCACCAGGGCATCCTTCCAATCCTGCGGAACCCGTCCAGTGGTCCAGACTGTTGTTATGATGTCATATAGGGCAGTCTGTGCACAAACGCCACCCTCCCTCAGCATTTCGCTTGGGAGATCATCTCTGCCCGCTGCCTTTCCTGGTCTCAGACTCCGGATCGCCTTCAATACTTCCTCAGCAGATGGCACCTCAGCCAGCCACTCACAGGGGGTGACTTCTTCCAATATTTGAGGCACCGCAGCCTCAGCAGGGTCATCCTCACTTTGTGCCACGATGTTTTCCTGGCTGAGGGATTTTCCCTCCCCCAGGACCTCACAGAAATGCTCAGCAAATCTGCGAACCTGTTCCTGGGGGTCGGAGATTGGATCACCGTTTTTTCCCCTAATGATGGTAATAGGTGTGGCGCTGCAGGTTACTTTTTTGATGGAGTTAAATAGAGATTTGTGATCACGGGCCACTGAGGCAGACTCCATCTCCTCAGCAACCCGCGACCACCACCCATCCTTGCAGCGCCTCACGGCTCTCCGAACCTCCGAGCGAAGGCTGCGGTAAGCCTCCTCATTCTCTGACGTGGGATTCTGTAGCCGATGACAGTGGGCCTGTCGCTTTTTCTCAACCATCCTGAACACCTCCTCTGTCAGCCAGGGTCTCTGGGGAGGTCTGGACCGCGTACCCAAAGCAGCCATTGCAGCTGCATGAGTCACAGTCCTAAACCTCGCCCATTTACCCTCGACATCAGGAGGAGTCGGGGACGATGCCAATCCCAGCCGCAAGCGATGATGAAATTCTTGCTTGCAACTTTCATCAGATAACTGAGACCAGGCCACTTTATGTTGGAATGGGGTCCTGGGTGTACACCCACCACCGGAGTGGAAGAATGGCAGGCGCATCTTACAGATGACTAGTCGATGGTCAGAGGGCAGATCAGCTCCACGGTAGGTCCTGGTGTCAAGGACATGGGCTCGCATTCGCTGGTCCGTCACTATGTAGTCCAGCAGATGTTCTTGCTTGGACCCGGCATACATCCATGATGTTGTGTGGATGCGCCGATGCCGGAACAGCGTGTTGGTAATTACAAGCCCATGGGCTGCACAAAAATCTAGCAGCCTCCTACCGTTGTTATTGAGCTGATCTGGCCCATGCCCTCCAATCACTCCAGACCAGGTGCCAGTATCATGACCAACTCGGGCATTGAAGTCACCCAACATGATGACTCTATCTCGAGGGGCCACTTTAGCCAGCACCTGTGACAGGAGGTCATAGAAGGCATCTGACTCATCGGCTTTGCCTGCATCCCTCCACGGATGTTCATCTTCGGTGGGGGCATAAGTAACCACGAACACCATTCCTCGCCTCCGGTTGATGGGAAGGCGAGCCCAAAGTAGCCTGGGGCTTACAGCTTCCCACACCTCACCGCCACGCTCCCACGCCCCCTTCATTCTTTTGTTCAAAAGAAGACCCACACCCTGTTGTTTGGCAGTCTGCTGCCCCGAGTAGAGGACTGTCCACCCCTCATGGTGGCAGGAGCCAGAGCCGGTCCACCGGACCTCCTGAATGCCGCATAGATCCAGGCGGTACCGGTCCAGCTCCCGACAGAGGAGTGGCAGCCTCTCCTCTGCAGTGAGCGTTCGAACATTCCACGTGGCCACCCGTAGTGGCTTTTCGTTGTTTCTGGAGTAGCCCCGAGGGTAGGTATTTAATCTCCTGGCTCCGCCAATTGGGGTTTGGCCAGGAGACGTCATAGACGCCTGGCCCCCCGGGGCCTCCGGCACAAGCTTATTAGTTACATATTTCAGTTTAATTCGTGGTTTCGTGGTAATTAATTGAAGGTGGAGGGGTTACCAGCCCCTCGCACCCGTCCAGAGCCCCTGTTTAGCCCCTGTGGTGGACACATATGCCATGAGGGGAGGAGCCAATCAAAATTGGATCTCCCCCCACAGCACTGTCCATGACAGAGTTGCCCGTCCGGCACCGCGAGGAGGTAGGGGGTTGTTTTGCCGGACCACACACCCACCCACACACCCACTCACTCACTCACCAACCCACTCACCCACACACCCACTCACTCACCCATACACCCACCAACTCACACACCCACTGACCCACCAACTCACCCACACACCCATCCAACCACTCGCGCACACACCCACCCACTTGCTCACTCACCCACTCACTCGCCAATACACCCACCCACGCACACACCCACCCACACACCCACTCACTCACTAACCCACTCACCCACACACCCATCCACTCACCCATACACCCACCAACTCACACACCCACTCACCTACCAACTCACTCACCCACACATCCACTCGTCTACCAACTCACCCACTCGCCCAACCAACTCACCCACATACCCACTGACCCACACACCCACTCACCCACTCACCCACCAACTCACTCACCCTCATACCCAATCCCCCACCGAAGGTGCTGACGCTGGACTCGATGCACGGGGTGACGCTGGGGGCGGCGGTGGTGCAGTTGGTGAACCTGCACCAACTCCGGCTGCTGAACTGCACCGTGAGCGTCGACAATCGCGCACTCGCCTTCCTCAGTGAGGAGCTGCACCAGTTGGAGGTGCGTGGGTGGGTGGATGGGCGGGCGGGCGCGAGGGTGGGTCGGTCGGAGCGGTCCATTCGGCTCCACTGACCCGGCCGTGACATCACCAAAAAGTCACCTCCCCCACCAAATGTATTTAAGTCGCAGTGTCGGGGACCGATATTCACCGTTGCCGTTCGCGGCGTCCGCCCCCCCCCCCCCCCGCGCCCTCTTGCAGGTGAAGTTTGCGGTCAAGGCGGAGGTCCCGGGCTGGCTGCGTGAAATGCGCCACCTGGAGGAGCTGTTCCTGGAGGGGCCCCTGACGCCCGCGCTCCTTAAGCCGCTGGGCGGCCTCAGGCGCCTGCGGGGCCTGCGCCTGATGACAAGCGTCGCCCGCCTCCCGCCCGGCCTGGCCGCCGTCGCTGGCGGCGGCCTGCGCGCGTTCGCCCTCGACAACGGCGGCGTGCGCCTCGAGTCGCCGGCGCCCCTGAGCAAGCTGCGCGGCTTGGAGACGCTGCGGCTGACACGCTGCGGCCTGGAGCCCGCCGAGCTTCCGCGGCCCCTGCTGGCGCTGGGACGCTTGAGCGACCTCGACCTGTCCCGCAACGGCCTCCGCTCGCTGGGCGACGGCGATGACGCGTCGCTGCCGGCGGCCGCCTGGGAGCGCCTCGCCGTCCTGCGCCTTTCGGACAACGCCCTCGTGAGCATCCCACGGTTCGCGGCGGGGGCGGGGTCGCCGGCCCTGCGCTCGCTCTTCCTCGACGGGAATCTCATCGAGGGCGAGCTGCCCGCGGGGCTGCTCCGCCTGCACGGCCTGCGCGTCCTCGACCTGAGCCGCAACGCCATCGCTGCCCTGCCGCCCGACATGTGGCTGCTGACTCAGCTGAGCACCCTCCTTCTGTCGGGCAACGCCCTGCGGCGTCTGCCCGATGAGTTGTTCCGGTGCGAGGGATTGCGGACGCTGGCGCTCGCCAACAACGAGCTGTGCGAACTCAGCGGCCTGGTGGGGAGGCTGAGGAGGCTGCGCAGGTTGGAGCTGGTGGGGAACCGGCTGACGGAGCTGCCGGCCGAGCTGGGGGAGTGCGCGGAGCTGAGGCGCAGGGGGCTGGTGGTGGAGGAAGAGCTCTTCGAGTCGCTGCCCGCGCGGGTGAAGGAGGCGATGCGGGGCGAGCCCAGCAGAACGACGCAGAGCCCCTCTGGAAGCCGGGAGAGAAACGCAAGAAACTGGGAGGGAACCCCAAGACACTGAGATGCTTTTACCAGTAATTACAACCACGACCTCCTGTATATTAGGTAAGGTAGTTAACGTCTCAATTACCAAGGCGTAGACACCAATGAAGGTCCAGACGACCACCGTACTGAGTTTGGGCCGAGTGGGTCGCACACGTCCAGTGAGTCTAGGGCGGGCCTAATAATACACGGTCTTGTGTCTGTGTTTTATTGATCGAACAGTTGGTTCATGTAGCCGCAAACTACAGTTATGCGCATTGAATAATCCGTGGCTGAAAGTCACGTGAAGTAGCTTGTCTGATAATTTGTATAATCTCCCCCTGTTATATCTCCCCCTATTCTACAGTGAGAGTGAGTGGAGTTTGTATGATTAGGGGTTGACAGGTCTGGGTGTAGGCACTGAATAGGGATTGACAGGTCTGGGTGTAGGCACTGATAAGGGGTTGACAGGTCTGGGTTTAGGCATTGATTAGAGATTGACAGATCTGGGTGTAGGCATTGATTAGAGATTGACGGACTGGGTGTAGGCATTGATTATAGATTGACAGGTCTGGGTGTAGGCACTGATAAGGGGTTGACAGGTCTGGGTGTAGGCATTGATTAGAGATTGACAGGTCTGGGTGTAGGCATTGATTAGAGATTGACAGGTCTGGGTGTAGGCATTGATTAGAGATTGACAGGTCTGGGTGTAGGCACTGATAAGGGGTTGACAGGTCTGGGTGTAGCCATTGATTAGAGATTGACCGGTCTGGGTGTAGGCATTGATAGGGGGTTGACAGGTCTGAGTGTAGTCACTGATAAGGGGTTGACAAAACCTGTATTAGGGGAAGCCACCGTTGACCAATTTGGACCCCCCGTTTTTTGTTTTTCTCCGTTGGCTCCAAGCGCTTGATCATAGCCCCCAGCTTTTAAGGGCGGTCTGTGAATCGCTTCTTCTCGCCGCTTCCGCCGGGATGCTCGTGAGCGTGAATGCAAACATTAAAACGTTTCCCCGTCTTGACCGGGCTGTCTTTGGTTGCTACGTCCTGTTGATTTCGTTGCCTTGGGTGTTCTGATTGTCCCTGCGAGGCCATGCCGCCAGGACCCTCCTTGAAGAGACGCGTGGCCAAAGGAGATGCTGATACACATGGACCCAGAGCTGGAAACCCAGCATCTCGATGTCTCCGTCTTAACCATTGCGAATCCCCAGAGAGACACAGCCATTATTAATCCACTGAGAAAGAGAGAGCTATTATGAATCCCCTGAGAGAGAGAGAGAACCATTATGAATCCTCTGTGTGTCAGTGTGTGTCAGTTTGTGTGTGTGATTTAATCCCATCTGTAAAGGATGTGATTCCTGACATGCAATACCCTGTTGTCTAGAAACGGAGTCATGGTTGTGGCAGCAGTTACATTGGGGAAACGAAATGACATGTCTCGGACCGTGTTCGTGAACACAAGGCAGATCTGAAACACGGTAGGACCAATACCTCTGCCATTGCCGATCATTGTTTTAACGCTGTGGGCTCACGAAATTGATTTTTCCAAGACGGAGTTACTCTGCAAACCTACCGGCTACCTTCAGAGATTTGCTCATGAAGCCATCCAGATATATAAACACAGACAACTTCAACCGAGATGGGTGCAAACTGAGCAATCATTGGAAGAACGTTATTAACCAAGTAAATTCTTAACTGACTGTGATGTTTCCCTCCTACCAGCCTATGTCAGCTGTTATTCCGACTCTCTGTGTGTCTTTCATCATGTGTACCTCTTGCTCTTAGGGGTTTTTGTTCCTGTTGCCCGGCTCTCTGACATTGGGCCGTCTCACGTTGACATGCTAATCTCCCACATTTACATTTATGTACAAATTCCTTCTCTAGCTCCACCCACTTATCAGTGGGTTGGGCCCACCAATATCCTATATAACCTCTTGTTGCAGCGGCTCTTTCTCCTACGTCAGCAGTCCTCCTGTGTTTGTTTCACACCTGAAGATGGTCGCTTGTGTTGCGATCGAAACGTCGTGATCTATTGTTTTTTTTCTACCTACGTGACTTTACCGAAAGAACAAAAGAATATGAATTCCTGCAGTCACGAAAGCTATAATACATGGACATGGCCGATATATAGACATAATATATAGATGATGGTTCTGTTGTTGGCGGCGTTTTAGACAATATAATACATGGACGTGGCCGATATATAGTAATAATAGATATATGATGGTTTTATTGTTGGCGGCGTTTTAGACAATATAATACATGGAAGTAGCCGATATATAGTAATAATAGATAGATGATTGTTCTGTTGTTGGCGGCGTTTTAGACAGATTTAATACATGGACATGGCCGATATATAGTAATATATATGATGGTTCCGTTGTTGGCGGCGTTTTAGACAATTTAATACATGGACATGGCCGATATATAGTAATAATAGATATATGATGGTTCTGTTATTGGCGGCGTTTTAGACAGACAATACATGACATGGCCAATATATAGTAATAATAGATATATGATGTATCTGTTGTTGGCGGAGTTTTAGACAGATAATGGTTCTGTTGTTGGTGGCGTTTTAGACATATAATACATGGAGGATGCTGAAATATAGTAATAATAGACAGATGATGGGCGGCGTTTTAGACAGATATGATTCATGGACATGGCCGATATATAGTAATAATAGAAAGATGATGGTTCCGTTGTTGGCGGCGTTTTAGACAGATATAATACATGGATATGGTCGATATATAGTAATATTAGATATATGATGGTTCTGTTGTTGGCGGTGTTTTAGCCAATATAATACATGAAAGTGGCCGAAATATAGTAATAATAGATAGATGATGGTTCTGTTGTGGCGGCGTTTTAGACAATATAATACATGGACGTGGCCGATATATAGTACTAATAGATAGATGATGGTTCTGTTGTTGGCGGCGTTTTAGACAGATTTAATACTTGTACATGGCCGATATATAGACATAATATATAGATGATGGTTCTGTTGTTGGCGGCGTTTTAGACAGATAATACATGGAAGTGGCCGATATATAGTAATAATAGATAGGTGATGGTTCTGTTGTTGGCGGCGTTTTTGACAGATATAATATATGAACATGGCCGATATATAGTAATAATAGATATATGATGGTTCTGTTGTTGGGGGCGTTTTGAACAGATATAATGCATGGACGTGGCCGATATATAGTAATAATAGATATATAATGGTTCTGTTGTTGGCGGCGTTTTAGACAGATATAATACATGGACATGGCCAATATATAGTAATAATATATAGAGGATGGTTGTGTTGTTGGTGGCGTTTTAGACAGATATAATACTTGTACATGGCCGATATATGGACATAATATATAGATGAGGGTTCTGTTGTTGGCGGCGTTTTAGACAGACATAATACTTGTACATAGCCAATATATAGACATAATATATAGATGATGGTTCTGTTGTTGGCGGCGTTTTAGACAGATATAATACATGGACATGGCCGATATATAGTAAAAATAGATATATGATGGATCTGTTGTTGGCGGCATTTTAGACAGATATAATACATGGACATGGTCGATATATAGTTATAATATATAGATGATGGTTCCGTTGTTGGCGGCGTTTTAGACAACTATAATACATGGACGTGGCCGATGTATAGACATAATATATAGATTATGGTTCTGTTGTTGGCGGCGGTTTAGACAGATATAATACATGGACGATGCCGATATATAGTAATAATAGATAGATGATGGTTCTGTTGTTGGCGGCGTTTTAGATAATATAATACATGGACATGGCCGAAATAAAGTAATAATAGATAGATGATGGTTCTGTTGTTGGCAGCGTTTTAGACAATATAATACATGGACGTGGCCGATATATGGTAATAATACTTATATGATGGTTCTGTTGTTGGCGGCGTTTTAGACAATATAATACATGGAAGTGGCCGATTATATAGTAATAATAGATAGATGATGGTTCTGTTGTTGGCGACGTTTTAGACAGATATAATATATGGACATGGCCGATATATAGTAATAATAGATATATGATGGTTCTGTTGTTGGGGGAGTTTTAGACAGATATAATGCATGGACGTGGCCGATATATAGTACTAATAGATAGATGATGGTTCTGTTGTTGGCGGCGTTTTAGACAGATTTAATACTTGTACATGGCCGATATATAGACATAATATATAGATGATGGTTCTGTTGTTGGCGGCGTTTTAGACAGATAATACATGGAAGTGGCCGATATATAGTACTAATAGATAGGTGATGGTTCTGTTGTTGGCGGCGTTTTTGACATGTATAATACTTGTACATGGCCGATATATAGACATAATATATGGATGATGGTTCTGTTGTTGGCGGCGTTTTAGACAGATAATACATGGAAGTGGCCGATATATAGTAATAATAGATAGGTGATGGTTCTGTTGTTGGCGGCGTTTTTGACAGATATAATATATGAACATGGCCGATATATAGTAATAATAGATATATGATGGTTCTATTGTTGGGGGCGTTTTGAACAGATATAATGCATGGACGTGGCCGATATATAGTAATAATAGATATATAATGGTTCTCTTGTTGGCGGCGTTTTAGACATATAATACATGGACATGGCCGATATATAGTAATAATATATAGATGATGGTTGTGTTGTTGGTGGCGTTTTAGACAGATATAATACTTGTACATGGCCGATATATAGACATAATATATAGATGATGGTTCTGTTGTTGGCGGCGTTTTAGAAAGACATAATACATGGACATCGCCGATATATAGTAAAAATAGATATATGATGGATCTCTTGTTGGCGGCATTTTAGACAGATATAATACATGGACATGGTCGATATATAGTTATAATATATAGATGATGGTTCCGTTGTTGGCGGCGTTTTAGACAGCTATAATACATGGACATGGCCGAAATAAAGTAATAATAGATAGATGATGGTTCTGTTGTTGGCAGCGTTTTAGACAATATAATACATGGAAGTGGCCGATTATATAGTAATAATAGATAGA